AAAGGAAAGTGTGTATTTGCTGTCATTTAACAATTTGGAATAACCAAAATACTGAAATAAACTGACCTCCTCTGTGATACTCGGAACAACAGGCCGGGTGTGTATGAGCTCAATGCCTCTGCCCTCTGTGTTGGCCTCTAGACAAAACTCCTTCCTTAATGGATGACACACACAAATATAATGGTTTAGGTAAAATGTTCGCCATTTATCATTTTCAAATGTTTCTTCTCAGGAACTGTTCCTGCTTTTTTACCTGTTCAAAATAGGTGTCTCGATGGTTGACTCCTCGGATCCTGCCTGTATGAGAGAAGAATTGTTTTAATTACTGTGGAAAATAAATGTAAAAGTGTAATTAATGATGGTGATTTCTATCAGAAACCATAACATAAAATGAAAGCAAACTCTGCGGAATTTAATAACATAGCACATATCTTTCCCTGCTCCTAGTACTAGGATGGGTTAAATGCAGAGGCCACATTTCACTGTGTGTGCGCTGTGTGCTCTGCATGTGTGACCATTAAAGAGGGTTCCATCCCTTCCATCTATTTCAGAGCAGTAATATCTCAAACCGAAGGCCGATGGACACACAGCTGAATCATATGACATACAATGAAATGGATCACACTAAATATGTAAGAAATGTACTTTTAGTAATCATAATTGCCAAAAGGTAAGTCAACAACAAAATCTAGTTTCAGAGTATATTTACCTGTGGGTATTCCTGGGGGCTGAGGATGTACAAAGCACCATGTCCAGAAGTCCTGAGCACCTGCTCTCCAGTCCAGCCCTCCGCAGGAGTGTCTGGGACATACAGCACCCTAGAGCCTGGTACACACTGGAAACCACACACTAATCAGATTCAAATGTAGCAACACACTGGAAAAATGCTGCTCCAAAAACAAGTTAAACAATAAAGGAAAACAAGCTGTTTTCACTTGAAATAAGTACAAAGTTCTGCCAATAGAACAAGTGAAAATTTGCTTGGTAAGATTTCTTGAAATAAGATGGGATATTTAGATAAATGAGATCTTGTAATTATCTGAGAGAACACATTTTGAACTATATTTTACTAGAATCAGGAAATGTTGTGTTACAATATAAGCTGCAAATGCTCAAAGGTTTTCAGTTTTCTGATGTTAGTTGGTGATTGTCTAATAAATATGTAAAACAATATGTGGTTCATCTGAGATACAACCCAAAATAAGATTTATTTACTTAACAAGATGATGCATTGTCTAAAAACAAGACCCGATATCTCACTGCAGTGTTACTTCTGAAGTTATTACGTCTGATATCAGGTGTAAAGAAATATTCTGACTAGATATTAGATAAATATACTTGGCAAGATTTCAAGTTTTTGTAGTGCATGTGGAAGAGTTGGAGGGAAAATTGCCTGATTCGCTTTCAGATATCCTATTTACTTTTGTGAAAACGTAATCTTAAATGTTGACTTAATTTGTAGCCGAATTCTTGATTCTTAAATCTCCAAATGGTAATAGTGGGTGAGCCAGTAAATTATAATGCGTGTTTAGTATACATGTCAAAAAGATATACTACACACACACCTGTAAATATGTGAAGGAGAATCTTTGTCCCGCCCGCTTCGCAAACTTTCCCCTGAAGAGCGTCGCCAGCCGACTCTGCATCTGATTGGCCGACCAGCTGTGATCTATGGTGATGCGAGCAGTCAATCCCATAGCCGCTAGAGCTGCTCGTTCTTTGCTTCGTGGAACAGTGTGTCTGGAAAAACAAATGGGAAAATGTACTTCACTGATATAGTTCTATTGGATGAAACATTACTTATTTTCCAGCCATTTTAATTCATGCATATTTTATACATTTTAACAAATTCGAAACAGTTTACCCTCTGAGTAGTATGAACAGGCTAATTTCATTATGCCAGTTAGTGTTGATAGTAATGGGGCAGGAGTGAAATTTGTGCCCTAATTGTGGCACTGTAGATTAAAAGGGTCGGTAAGTACAGTACAGTACACATATTAAGAGAAGATTTCATTATGGTAGTGCTAGAGAAATTGGGAACGATAGACGATACTAAGCATGGGCCCGATGGGCTACCAAGCCCCTAAATGTGATTGCACAAGTACATATTTGGTGGCCAAAATATAAACTTGTGAAAAAAACAGAAAGGGCAATTTAACGAAACCTCACAATGAGAGCTTTTTGATTTTTTTTTTAAATAAAATGACACAAATAGTTTGCAATCCTTCTTGCACTGTAATGTTGTTTTTGGGGGATTTCTGAAAACATAATTTGGCCCCATTTACCCAGGTTATCCCTTTGAGACATGCAGTCTTTCCGCAAGATATTAGTCCAGCTATTGTTAATGTTTAAAAAAATATATATTAAGAATAGAGGCCAAGAATGTCGATACCAAATGTATTACCAATGTGGCAAGTTAGGATATTTATGATTTAGTACCTAAAAGGCCAATGGATGAAATATGATCTCACACACTCTCACCTCTCGAGCTGTGCCAGGTAGCGTCCTCTGGGTAGACAGACCACATCTTTGACCGCCAGTCCGGTCATCTGCAGAGACAGTCTTTTCCACTTGAGACGAGTGGCTTTGTTCGGAGAGGGCTGTAGCACACAGCAAAGGGAAGCAAACGGACAGACAGATTAGACATATTGACAAATCACATGCACACAGTTCTTATTGTGCAAGAATTTTAACCACAGACAGAAAAACAATGTGTTGCTTGTCAATGTTAAACTAGTCAGGGAAAGAAAAACAACTCTTAAAATGGAGCTGCAAATGTAGCAAACAACAGGAACAAAAGGAAACATTACCCCTGAAATGATGAGAAGATTGAAACAAAATCAACTGAACAGGAAACATTATACAAACATTAGATACATCGTAGGAAAATAGGAATAAACAAATGCATGGATGTGAAAAATAAGCAAAAATGGAGCTTGAAAGCAGACATGTGTGAAACCTTTTTGACTGATTGATTGACTGAGTCCATAACGCTTGCTGGATTAAGTGTTTCCCTTTGTGATCAGGATTAGCGCATGAGTAAGCTTTGTCTGCTAAACCTGATCAAATTATACTTTAATTAGTTTGATTATATTACATTACTAAGATGGAAGAAGGCTCAGTGGTTCCTTCAACAAAATGAATGTAATTCAAATGACATGTGAAAAGTGATGTCATTGTTATTTAAAAAAATAAAAGTACCATGGCCATAATGGAAGGATCAATTGCTTTTGTATCCAATAATTCCTTGTCAGACAATCTGAAGGGAGGAAGCACCTACATGGAGAAAGAGAAAGCAGCGTTAGATTCTTTTTAAAACAAGGTAGAAGAAACCTCTTGAAAGAGTTGCTGAAAAGCTGTTCAGAGTGTACATTTCATTCCTAAACTCACTTTATCACCCCTTTTCCACAGTTTTATTTATGACAAGTGAGAATGGGATATTCCTTGTGTGGATGTTCTATGAATTTATGTATTTATTTACATTTTTCATATTCACGTACCTTCATCTCCATTTTAATATCCTCCATTAATCCTAGGGCAGGGGGGGCGTTCTCAGGCTCTGTCTCAGTGTGGGGCTGGGTCTGCTGCCTGGTTGCAGTCTCAACCTGAGGCCCGGGTTCCTCCTCACAGTCAGGGACCAGAGGATGCTCCGGGTGTGTCTGGGTTCAAGAATAGGAAGGAAAATGTGTTGACTGTGTGTGAACATATGATCCAACATATGGACGAAGAACACTGAAAGACCTGCATCGTATTAGATGCAACACCGTTTTTTATGAATTACTATTTGTGTATAGGACAGGCACTACTGTACATCCATATTCAGAATTATTTGTATATTTGTTTAACTAAATAAAAAGTGTATTGGTGTTTTTGGTGAATTTATTCATTTGATGATTGATTCAATTGGTTCAGTTCTGATCAACAGATATCGTCGCTCCAGTTAGATCAACTACTGTATCTCAGTTAACCTCTGTGATGTATCATGTGGACCAGTCACATAAGCTCTAGGTATAAAGGAGCAGTATCTAATCTCAATCCATTACATTCTTTAACAGTTCATACTCTATAGATTCCTTCAAGATCACATGACCCAAGGTAAATATATAAGTAAAATATTTCTGAAAAGTCTGAAATATTGTGTCATACCTGCAGAACATGCAGTTTGGACTTTATTAGTCTCACAAAGGCTGTTACTGAACACATACACATTAGATAGCACTCTGAGGATCACCACAGTTTGAATTTCTTAAAATGTATACTCAAGACCCACTTGGACAAAGCTGACTTCTTCCTCTTCCTGCGTTAATGTAATAACACAGTGCTCCATGGAAGAAAACAGCACCATCTCGATGTTTTCTGTGATGCCGAGCACCACCGCCTTCTTCTCGCTCGGCCTCTTCCTCTGTGATACAACTATGAAGGTTTTATCTTCTGTGTTTCTTCTTAGATGCCTCATTTCTTCAAGAACAATATCCCTTTCCCTCGTCATTCACGTAATTACTGTTTGGCCTTTTTGTGTTTGGTCTTAGATTTCTGTCCTTGCTCAAGCTTTCTTTCTTTCTTTTTATCTCCTTGATCTTGTGTTGCTCTTTGTTGTTTTCAGGCCTGTACTGCTTTCTGTATCCTCTCTAGTTTGAGTTGAACCTCCAAATATTCCTCAGGTAATGGTGGCCTTCCAAAGATCCAAATAGCTGAGTGCTCATTAAATCAAGCTGAGATCTATCAGATCCCGTGGCTCTGATTGGCCCAGCTTTGGAATGTTCTTAAGCTCTCATTGGTTGAGAGGTTTGGGTAAATAGCTCTGATTGATTCTGCGTTGTCTTGAGAGTTACAACACGTTGGCCCATTGTTGTTAGGAGCTTTTAAATTGGTGATTCTACTTTCTGCATAATGAACTCAGATGTAATGTCAATGTACATGATTTAAAAGACACAACTAATCAACCCCTCTTCACATATCACTCGTGGCCTGTTTAATCATCAACATCATGATTGAGTCACTTTTGATTTGAGTAAGTTTCATTGTCAATAATCCAAGTTACAAAATACTTGCTTATAAAATTAAAACACAGATATGTTAGGATCTATGTGTATTGTCTTTGCTCGTCCATTAAAGAATAAATGTCTTTGAATCCACAGCTAAAAACATCAGGCCGGTTTAATGATTGCTAAACAAACCTTGATAAAGTGTGCAGATTTCAGCAGTTACACAGCATAGTGCTATACTATCTAATCTGGGTCAATATGATCAAAGTCACACCTAATTTCTCTGGTGAAACTGTTATGACAAAAGAAAACCACACACACACTCAACAATCTATGATCATGTGTCAACTAAGGGATCAGCACACATAGTTGAGTTAACCAAATGAGGAAGTTGTGAGTGAAATACAATTAAAATAAATCAAAAGTGGACTGATATATTCAAACTACTTTCTATTTGAGTGACCAACAAGTAAAAACTTCCGCAATTCATGACAAATAAAATCACAATCTTGCAGCTTTTAACTAGTTTAAACCAAGTGACTTCCAGGTTTTAGGCATTTAGGCACTAGTGTTAGGACAACACACTCTATTAAATAAAATGTTAGTAGCAACACATTACATTTGTATCTCAACATAAAGCCTAAAGACCACTTTTAGATACATATCTTTAAAATTGTAACAAAAATGAACACGCAATGACAAACAAAACTCAAAATTGGAAAGCATGATTACTATCTTCTCTGCAGGGTCTGCTTTATATACTATAGTCTGGTCTTGTGTTTCCTGCATACAGTATTTTATTGTTCTATTAAGTTAAAAACACAGATAAAACATCCATATTAATTGCTTTATATATATATCAAAAGTTGGTCAAGTAAACATGCAAAAACCTGTACATGATTGTCTGATGACAAACAGAGCTTGTCACAACATTAGAGACTAGAGAGACAGCTTTGTGTTTTCATTGTTGCCAGGTTGTCCTTTCACTCCAGTGTTAGGACCGTTTACAGCAACGGAACAACTCAACCCGCAATTTGCTTCGGTGCAGCAGTTCATTAGCAAACAATGGGATATAGTTATTCTATGCATCAGTTTGAATGAACAACTGACACCTTTGTCCTTGTATATTTAAGTACAGTGTACGTGGTGTGTGTGTGTGTGTGTGTGTGTGTGTGTGTGTGTGTGTGTGTGTGTGTGTGTGTGTGTGTGTGTGTGTGTGTGTGTGTGTGTGTGTGTGTGTCTCAGGCCATTAAATGTCTCTGGCTGCAGGTCAACAGGTAAGGCAGGAAGTAGGAGGCCGTCCCGTCGTCGGGTATCAGCTCCAGAAAGTCTGTTGGACTCATTTCCATGGCAACCACAACCAGCGTCTCTGTTGGCATGAACACAGGCCAAATTAAAGTCTAGAAGTCAAAACATGGACATCAGAGTAGAACTGACTCTTTTTTTTTTTTATGTTTTTGATTTTCACGAGAAAGTAATAAAATACTAGTATCACAAGAAGTATTAATTAGTGTAATTAGTTCATTTTGTCTTATTTCTCATTGTTGGTTTGCAGGGCCTTTGTAAAATTAGATTAAATCCCCAGTTAAATAAGCTAATTTAACATTGCACTTCTGCTGCCCCATAGGTGATTGGACTCACGAGGGTAAAAGGAAAAAAAGTACAGATATATATAAGATGTCCTTAAACAAAGCTAGGCAAGGTGGCCATACACTCAAAATAAGGGTCTTTTGACAGACTGATGGTATTCTGGGATAAACGTCTACCTTTGAGGGCTGCCAATAGGATGCTGTTGTCTGAAGCAGCTCTCGTCCTGTTACAAAGCTCAGGGAGCAGCTTCTGCCACCACAACATCTGCGAAAAGTATACAAGGAAGACAGGGTTTTACTACTGAGAATCACTTAGAGTTAAAAAAATAAGTGATACACTGCACAGCTCAGGCTACAGCTCAGTACAGACCATATGTGTGTCCTGTAACTGGTGGTTGGCGTAGGCTATGATGGCCTGAGGACATCGGTCCAGCAGCTTCTCAATGCTGCGGTCATACTGCCCCCTCCTGGTGGAGCAGAGGAGGTGCAGGCTGAAGCCCCACAAAGTTTCCTCTGACAGACGCTCCATCAGAGGCACGACGGAGCCCACAGACAGAGACGGACCACACAGCAGAGACTGTAGGCAGACAGAAACATGGATACAATCACAGAAGGTGAGTAAGGGAAAGGGAGATGATGCAAGATCAAATACCACAATAATTGTTTGACAATCAAACAAATGTAACGTATAAAATTCAAAAACAAAACCCTACTCAATTTAATACACTCATGAGATTTGTGTAACATACTCACATGTTATGGTATGACGTGTAGCTTTGGTGGCTAATGTTAGCTCATGTTAGAAGACTTGACATATTTGACTACAAGTGCAATGTTCAAGTAGACTCCTAAAATGTTCAATTATATTTTGTATATTTTCCATAGAAGCACATTTATTTTGATTCAAGACACATTACCTGTAGTTTGTACAGCGCCTCCTGGTGTTGGGAGCTGGTAGTGTGAGCTGGATTGAGAACAGTGAGCCACGGGTAGAGAGCACCGTAATGAGAGCAGGAGTTTATCTGAGACACACAAACATGTAGGCCTCTCAGTGAGTAAAAAGATGATCACATTAATGGATTTCCTAAACATCACACTATTTATACACAATGATTATTTGACGGCAGTATATAAAGGTGCTGGACAAAATCCCCAACAGAAACGTAATCTTTCCCAAACAAGCACAACAATTGCAATTTGTATCTACTGTACCAGATCGTCAGCGCTCTTCAGCGGCCTTCGTCTTGAAGGTGTGTGTGGTTCGTTGAGGTGTGTATCGGAGGTTGTGTTTGTGAGTCGGTCAATATAGATGGACACAAGTCGGAACAGGAGCTCCTGGATGACAGCTTCTTGTGAGGAGGCCATGAGCATCGCCTCCCAGAAATCCACCTGCAAGCAGTTCTCACAGCCCAGCTCCTAAAATCAAACACACATATATGTTTTCATCTTGAAAGGTTGCAACAAATCAGTAAGATTTCACTTGCTGTGAATAACAAGTGCCACATCCACCTTGAATATGTGATCAGCCTGTTCCAGCTGAACTTTGCTGTTTTCATGTAAAGCCACCATGGCAGCCACCAGCAGTCCTGGTTGGGACTTTGCCAGCTGTCGGGTCAGTCGTGTGGGACGGATGTGTGTGTGCTGGCCTCCAACTCCGCCGTGCAGCAGCAGCCTGGGCTCCTCGATGAACCTGTACACCAGCAGCATCTGAACACAAACACACAGGTCCTCAGGTTTCTCAGAACTCCAATTGCCCTTTGCTACACTGTCAGCATGACTCTCATGAATCTCATTCTGAGAAATGTAATTCGTAGTGATTTGGTATCTTATAAGATAATACAAACAATGTTAAGAGCTTAGACATTACATTCTCTTCTCAATCCACTGTGATCATTTTATTTCTCATTTCCTTTCATGAGGAACCAGAAACATTTTCACTTTCCGCTATACTAAAAAAGGATTTAATGCAAACATTGGGGAAAGATTTTGGCAATTTTACACAAACATAATTAACTGTTCAAATAGACGTGACATGTCAATGTGACATGTAAAAAATATTCTAACTGTATTGGATCATAACATATTACATACGAAATTGATCTGATTTGTTTCTACATGTATGGATATTTTTGAGCCATGGGTATGCAAATTGCTGGAAATGTATTTTTCTATATTGCGACCCCTATTGGCCAGTTAAGAGGAGTGATGAGTGAGGAGTTAATGAAGGTTCAAAACTGTAAGTAAACATTTTAAAAGATTGTTAATCATCACAACAAAATATATGATGCTGATGAGATGACTCTCATGCAAGATGAGCACACAGACACACACACATATTTTTGGTGGTGGAGAAAATAAAGTTTCAGTTTCTTCTTCAATGAGAAGCTTTCTTAAGGACACACACAGCACAGCCCCTGTCCCCTCTCACCTCGGCGTGTCTCTCCATCAGCTGTGTGTACTGTGGCAGGTCGTCCAAACACAGCATCATGGTTGCCATGGTGATTGTGAGAAGAACAGACACACCACACGTGTCCTCCTGATGTATTAGGATTTGCAGCGTCTTGGCGGGACTGAGGTTTATCATGGACGGGCTGGCACACACACTGACGAGCTGTGAGGGCTCTGATTGGCTGAAAATGTCTATGACATCATCAGCTGCCTCCTGCAGAAAGATAATTCTTTAATTCCTTCTTTTCATTAGTTTCTTTTAATATTAATTAACTGAAGGAACAAGTGTTCAGTAGAACACGAATAAAACACCTGATGAACTGATGTATACAAATCTAAAATAACTACTTATTTACATGTTTTTATAGACAAATCATAGGTTGTATCATAGCCGTAACAAAGTCACTTCCCCAAGAAAGCTAAGGGAAGACCTTTTCTAAAGACTGATTGCATGTTGTTAATTCTATAGCAAAGAAAATGTAATTATAATTTCTTCCATATTGCACCTTTCTAAAAATAAAAGGTCTCATTACAACAAGCATTGCATAATGTTAGTGTATACCTGGCTGAGAGTCTGCTCTGTTTCTTCAAACAGGAAATGCTTCAGGTAAAACAGGAAGCCAGGGCCGTAGGTGTGAGGGCTGCTGGGAAGTGGGCGGTTTCTGGCCATGACTTCTGTGACTGACAGACCGGACATCCTGTAGTACGGCAAGGCCAGATGGCAGTCCTTCTGACTGCCCCTACAGAACAGACAAACACAAAATAATTGATTCTCCTCAAATGTGAATATATGCTGCTTTTTGCCTTTATTTTTTGGGATACTTTTTTACTTTAAAGGTCCCATGACATGGCCATTTCTACTGATCATAATTCCATTGTGGAGGTCTACTAGAATAGATTTACATTGTTCAATGTTCTAAAATCACATTGGTTTCTCATACAGCATCTCTGGATAGTATGTGTATTCACTCTCTGTCCTAAACGGCTTGTTGGAGCTCCTGCCCCCCCCCGTCCCTATGAGCCCACTGTGCTCTGATTGGTCAGCTCGCCCACTCTGTTCTGATGAGTCCACCACCGTTACAGCGGAACATCAGTGATTATGTGTTACAATGGCGTTTGTTAGCAACCAGGAAATGACACCAGTAATGACAAACAGATGAGAATGCTGCGTGGGGTCTGGGTGCCGTGTTGGCGGGACGTTGCGGGGCTCGCTGCTCCGCCCTTTGAGGCTCGAGGAGCGGACAGTGTGAGCTGGATTACTGGTGTCGTTTCCTGGTTGCTGCGTGGGGTCTGCGAGACAGCGAGACACCGCGAAACTCAGCCTGAACTCAGCCTGAGCACACACACAAACTCAGTGTCTCGCTGTCTCAGGCTGAGTTCAGGCTGAGAAATCCGCGGAGCCGCGGCTGAGAAAAGATAAGTCTGAGTGAGTGTGTGTGTGTGTGTTAGGAGCTCCACGGATTGGTCCATTTGGACCTGGGCATGGTTACGTCACCATACTCAGGAAGAAAAAAATGGAAAAAGAAAAATCTCCAACGAGGCGTTCTGGGGCAGCATAGACAGGTCTTTTCTGTGTTAGAGTTTTACTCGCTACAGGGTGTACTTTGAGGGTTTGTGACTTTGCAGACCGTCTACATAACACACAAGGGGACGGGTAATAACCGGAAAAGCATGTAATGGGACCTTTATATAGTTGGCCAGACAAAACAGGCCTCATCACCTTGAGCTCTAGGAAATTGTGATGGATGTTTAATAGATTATACATTAAAAATAATTTAGAGATTATTAAAACATAATCTGAATTGCAGTCCAAAACAGAAGCATGCAATTGTTTGAACAAAATCCCTTAACTTTTAAACCTCAATAAAAATATGTAATCAGAATCACATAATTGACCAGGATTAAGTTATTTTAAGGATGCCACCTGTACAGCAAGGTGAAACTAATTTACATAAATACAGTCAATCAGAAGAAAAGAGTGTCTGAGGGAGACATTTACAAAAAAAAGTTGTGTGTTAACAGATATCTCCTGAACTTCCCCACTCAATCTATCAAGACCCGAGCAGTTCTATTAGAAGTCCAAGGTAAGGCACGGGCCGGCGCATGTCGCTCAAAGGAATCCCTCGTCATATGAACTTTGACCCTTAGAAAGTAAAAGTGAAGAGGCACAATGTGTCAACTCCCTTAGGATAGGTCTGAGGAACAGGGGTAGGAAAAGAGAAGTGAGAAACAGAGGAAGAGAGGCACAACGTGTCTACGTAAATGCACTCTCCTAAAATAGTTTGAGGGAAAGGGGTGAAGAAATACAAAGTAAGAAGCTGAAATGAAAAGGCACCACATTGCGTAAATGCTTCCCCTTAGAATAGGGTGGAAATTATGAGAAGGGGACAGGGACACAAGTGAAGAGGGACAAAAGTGAAGAGGCACAGTGTGTGTGTGTGTGTGTGTGTGTGTGTGTGTGTGTGTGTGTGTGTGTGTGTGTGTGTGTGTGTGTGTGACCTGCTGAAACAGTCTCCCAGCTGTGCACAGTTGTGCCTGAGTGCCTCCTCCACCTCCTGCCTGTCTGTCTGTGCAGCTGTCTGTCTCTCAGCTGGTGCGTCTGTATCTGTCTGCAGAGTCACGGCGGCTTCACCCTCGATGTTTCGTGGCTGCTCTGATGGCTCTGTCCTGAGTAAGGAGGCGCGGAGGAAGAGGTGAGCTTCACTCAGGAGGTGCCGAAGGCTTTGGGCCTGCGGGTTGGTCTCTGCGTACCGCTCGCTGTATTCGACCTGAAAAACACAGAGACAAAAATATGACTATACACACTCATACACATGAAGATTTACTACAGTACAGTAGGTGTAGCATGTTCAGAGTCAATCTTTCATATTATTTCCACCTTTCATTTAGTCACTAAATTTAACATATTTTGGAAAAAAGGTTTTAATAGATTTACAGATCAGAAAGAAGTTTCACAAAAATGCTGTCTGCTTCTTTAACACAGAAAGAATAAAGCAGTCCGTTTCACTAGATTTAGAAAATATATAATCTGATTAATAAATATATTTTCAACAAATACATTTGCACTCTCATTCCACAGGCAAATTGTATTTATTTTGTTTAACTATAAGTGATCAATTACAAATGAAATGCATGTCACAGTCAAGTGTCTTTTTATATACTTTTTCATGTTTTGTTTTTACGCATTTAAGATGTTAAATGAGAATCTGTTTTGTTCTAGTTTTATTTCTTTAGTCTTTCATACTGTATGATTAATAATTGTGCATACATGATATTACAAGTAGAAGTATACAACCATAACAACTGACATGCAAATACAGTGGATTGTTTTGAGCAGTTCATTAAGGTGGTATGTCTGTTACCATCTCTTGGTAAAGAGTGAGGGGGCTGACGCTGTCGACCACATACAGGTTCCACCCGTGTCCTGCTGGGCTGGTTTCTTTGGGAGAGGAGATCGTCCATTTCCTGCCCCTGAGGTCAAAGGTTACAAAGAGGGGTAACAAAAAGGATAATCAGAGAAAATCACAATTTTCTCATCACACAGAGAAGATACATTTGCCTAAATCCAAAAATCTGCAGACTTTTTAGAGAGATTTTCCCATTATTCAAGAAAATCACAGAAATCAACAAAAATAACGAGTGAAAACTGTAACAGTACGTTGACTTGTCTCTAGTCTAGAGTACTAGGATTTTACCAAATGTTCTTTTATTTAAAGATGCAGAATGCACAATCGGTACGCTAAACATGTCGATAACAGGAATTCAATTAATTACTTAAAACATTTCCGACATACTTTGCATGACATTGAACATGTTTTTAATCAATGGAAGGTTTTTAGTACTGTGTGCAGCACCATCATACTCACAGTAAAGTACAACATGTTGCATACAGTTGCTATGTGATACAGTACTATTGCCTAATATTATTAAGCGTTACTACATTACACATGAACAAACAAAGCATTAGTGAACTGTTAGTGAACAGATTAACATGGTAAATAAGTAAGATGTGTTTCCTGTGGCTCATGCCATGCTCGATAGTCATGTCATGTGGCCCCAAACCTGTATTTTGATTTGTAATAGAAACAGGCACATTTTACAATCTACAAAGCACACCTGCCTGTTAGATGCACAACATGTGATGTTCTGCCACTAGGAGTCTCTCAATAACAACAAAAACAAAAGATGAAGTTTGGCGGCATTGAGAGGCAGCGTTAGATCATGGGAGAGCTCTTCACCACATTGCACTCATTAACGCCAGCTTCTCCTAGTTAGGATTTCTATATTGTTATACCGAAACAGTGATTAAAACCACAGAATGATACAGTTTAACGTTATAAAGAAAAGTAATTATCCGACATTGTTTTGGCTATCGCTAACGTTTGCTCAGAATGCTTCTCTAAAACTTAAGATGCAATGACTAAAATCATATTTAAGGGGATATATAATCAAATAAGGGGATATGCTGCAATTTCCGGCGAACAAAAAACCACAACATTTTCCTGACAAAAAATGACAGATTACTTCAAATATCAATCAATAAATAAATAAATAAATTCAAGTTTATTCATATAGCCCAATATCACACATTTGATATTTGTCTCAGGAGCTTTAACAGTTTAACAACTCGATAAAATATATAAAACAGGTCTCACTTACTGAAAATGCAGCTCTTTACCTGCAATTATGGGCCACTATCTACGTTTTACAAGGGACAAGTTACATGTCCAACAAAGATGGATAACAAGCTGGCTGAATTAAATCCAAAACAGATCTTGTTCAGATCTATTTCAGTCCATAGACAATTAGTTTGTGAGCAAAGGGTCACACACACTAAAGGGAGTTAGGGTGGTTATGTTTTAAATTGGTTAAGGAACTAAAACAGGTAGTGTTGTCACTTTTAGACCAAGCTGTAAAGGCACACATTAATTCAAAACAGCAATTAACCATGAGTTGAAGTAACCAGTTGTTTTAGGGGTTTTATATATTATAGTTATAGACAGTTGTGGATTTTAAATATGAACATTATATTTGTAGAATCTTTGTCATTCTACATAAACGTTTAAAGGTAATCTGCAGTGTAACTACAGGATTAGTGCAGCAAATGTTAATCCATAATATACCTTATAAGTACAGAAAAACACAAAGCTTAAGTCTTACATTTTGAAAATGTTTGAATGTATTATCCAAGTGACTTGAATATTGATAACTTATGGTAAGGCAAGGCAGATCAAAGGAGGAAGTACTTAGTACCCTCACTTCCCACCTTTTTTAAATGAGCTAGGATCTTTGTGCCACTAAGAGTTAGATTGAGGGTCTAAAGTGAGGGTAAGAAGATACCTTGACATCTTGAATATACTATTTTCTTAGCATTTAGGATTTTGTCATAAAGTAGGAAAAGCCTCCATAACTAATGTTCCAGTTCATGTTAATTACCATGGTTATTCTTCAGCTAGGAATACTGGTATCAGTGACAAATGCAAAAACAAACAAGGTACTTTAATGGAAGCTAAAACAGTTTGTTCTGTGGCATGAAAGATTAAATAGATCCCCTTTTAAATAATGATTTGAGGGTTTGGCTAACAATCATCTGCTACAGTGAGTACTTTCGAGGGTTTCTTGGCATTGCAGCTTAGGCCTAAAGTGACGACAGAGACTGCGGGGGGAGGGGGGGGTTTGGGTTTATCTTACAGGAAGGGCCGTGATAGAAAGCTCTCCAGAGCTGGTGTGGTTGCGGGATCGATTCCCACCGCCAGGAAAATACCAGTCAGCAAGGTGTGTTCTTTCAACTTGCTAAAATAACACATACACACACAGTAAAACATTTTTTAAATGTATGTATGCCTGAACACACATATCACCAGTGTTGATAAGTATTCTGGTATGGCAGGGAGGTATCTGATGACTAATCCGATGAAGCTTTTAAACACTTGTACACTCTATATACGATCACAGACATTATGTGTGAGACTTACAGGCGTCTGCGTTGCGGGGTGCGTTCAGGTTCCTCTGGTGTCTCTGTGTCAGCAACGGAGAGCAGGATGACATGGCTGCCGTCGACACACACTGATCGCAGACCAATAAACAGCTGAATCCTGAGCGCACATACCTCCATGCTGCAGGGCGGACAGGCCTTCAGACACACACAGGGGTAAATGGTGAGACTAAACCCTACAGTTATTGAATAACCCATGAGGCAAGGTTTCCATGTTAGGATCATACCTTCATGGTGGTGTCGATGTAAGGGTCCACAATCCTGGCTGCTACTGCTGCACAGCGCACTGTGAAACACTGCAATGCACTCCTAGGCACACAGGAAGAATCAAACTTACTTGTTCAGAAATACACAATTCAGAATAGAGTATTTGCAATATACCAGTATTGACAATAGTTGCAATATTTAAACAATGAGGTATTTAGGTCATGTTAAAAATACAGTTATGACTACATTGTGTAAATAATTAAGCACCTTTTTAATTTCAGCAGTTTTTTTTGTTAATAATGTATCTTCCTTCCCAACAACCAACACACAGTGTAATTTATTGGCCAAAATAAAGACAAGCAATACATCAATCAAACAAAAAAACAAAGCATATTTCTTGTTTTTCAAATGTTCTGTTGACATTGACAATGTTTGTTATTGTTAATATGTTTTGGTCAGGAAGGTTGTGAAGTTAAAATCTGATATTATGACAGCCCTACTTTAGACTACAGAAGTAAACATGATTTCATATCAGTCTATTACTGAGGCTGATACACATGTCTTCTTATTCAGTTTCAACTTATAAAAGATTCAATTTTATTTTTTTATGATTTCCCATGACAAGACATGGATGAAGATATTTTAACGAGCTGTAATTCAGTGAAAATGAAATGATTGAAAGATCAAATGAGACTGCAGATGTACTTTGTAATGACGTGCAGCAGGTGGTCCGTTAGCACCGCCTTCAGGACTTTCTCTGGATACTGATAGGTGGAGAGAAGCTCGACACCACCCTTCAGACTGTACAGGTAGCCAGCGTTTGGGAGAGAGAAGAAGCAGAAGACACATGCTGGTTCTTCCAGAGGCACGGATTGGTTACCTGGAGAGAGAGAATGCAAAAACAATATTTTACCAAAAAGAACCAGGTCCAAGTCCTGAAAGAAGGGAAACTGCACTGACAACGTCTGAAAAGATCCCAGGCAAGTGGCAGAATGCATTTTTTTGAAAATGTGATCAAAAACAAATGTATCTTGTTAAGAAATATGTTGCAGTCGCAATGAATTGTATACAGGACTTTGCTGCAACACAGCTCAGTAGGGTTACATGAAGGTATTAGTGGCTTTGATTTGATTGAACGTTTACCATTTGTTTGATGTCATGGAGACATAAAGAGAGGAAATCGAGTAGTAATTCTAATTCCTGTGACAACATATTCTGCTTTTCACTGTATTGCTGTACTCACTGGTGTACAGTGGGTAAAGCTGCAGTGAGTGGAGTTGAGTTTCCTCCACACTGCAGCCCTGGAAGAAGTCTGGAGTAAAACGCCTGTAAGAAAGAAGTAAGAAAAGTAAAAAATACACCTCATATGGCAGATATATGCTAACCGTAAAGATCTAAAGGGTCAAACTGGTACTCAGCACTATACGCACTCACCTGAAGAGAACATATGATAGCGTGTATTGTCCTTTTCCGTCCTCCAACCCAGTATTCTCAATGCTGACAGGAATGTCACAGTCTTTAGCTACATCACCCAGCAACTCCTGGTGTCTCGGAAGGACCATGAAGTCAGCCTGGTCATCTATATGATCTGCTGCACACACACACACACACAAAGATATACAAAGATCTTTTACTTTCTGTTACTGCTGATACATCTATGCTTGTTTTTTAAAGCCTGTAAACTTAACATAATCAAAAAGATCTATAGATGCGGCATCAATCATTATAGAGGGCAACAAACACAAACTTGTATTTGTGTCTGATGATTCTTCCTGGGTTTTAGGATCAGAAGATGCATCCAGTTTCAAAACCAGCACCTCCAGCTCCATCTGCACTGCCACATAACCTCCACACAGTGCCACCTAGGGGGCAGAGGAGCAATACAACACAACCAAACCAGTGAGTATTGTTCTGTGTGCATTACAGATCATGTGACTGAACTATGAAGGAAATACCACAAAAAGAAAGGAACATAATAAAGAAAAAGGGGAAATGACCTGTTTAGGCTCGATTTTTGGGAGATGCAAGATAACTGAGCGTTCAAAATCCAGGAAATTCTGGTTTGGACTTGGAGACTGAGCTAAAAAGAAAAACAAACAAAGGACGGATCAGTTGAAGAAGGAAAACATGGAGAGTCAGCGAAGAGGATATTTGTTCTTAGATCACCGCAACCTAACTCCTTCACCACTAGACATAGAGTAGGCATTGTTTACTAGAACATTGGTCACATTTAAGGTCAGTAAAAAACACAGAGGATTAAATGACAATCAGAGCGTTACAAAATAATTGAATTACATAGAGGATTACATTTTTCTAAGAGTCATTCTATTTGAGCAACATGGTTGAAGCAATTTGCTGAAATTGTTCCTCCTGTCCAGTCAACACATTATAAACTAAACACAAGTCATGATGCAAAACAAGTCTTTGCATGAAAATGTGTTTACTATTATGTGTCAATTTTCTTGAGTTACCTTGATTCTGACTGGAGTTCTGCGAGGTGCTTTGAAGGATCTGCTGACTCTGATTCTGCAGGCATTTTTTTTCAAGAAGAATAAAATGTAAAACACTTAGAGAATTTCAACTGAGAATGTCATAGCATGCTTCATTGAGACATATAACTCTGATGATAACATAAAACTTCTTATTCATGTACTGCAATTTATATTTGAATACTTTTTGAGACACAATGAAATACACATTCTAATGTTGTGGATAACTGTCAACTTCTGGAAAACACTGCATCGTTAATCGTGACTACATCATGCACCAGTAGGACTAAACTGTGTAAGGCTCTCTCTAGAAAGGGGTCTTCAGAGGAGATAAAGCCACAGATTATTAGTTGAACTCTTACCAGGCTCTGCTGGTTCTGTCTCCTCAAGGCGAACAAGACCAGAGTGTCCTCACAGCCGACCAGAAGGTCTCCTGTCACCGGACAACATGCCACGGCAACAGGGCGCTTTGAAAGAGGGATCTCGATGATCTCCATCTGCACCCCGCCCCGCACAGACGCCCCTCGCAGCAGGTGGCCCAACAAACGCACCCCGACCCGGGCCTTCCCCTCCGCCTGAATGGAGAGCAATAAGTACAGAAGAAAACATGGACAAAAGAACGTAATATTGCAGTAGATATACTGATGAAAAACCATCTCTTCTATTTGTCTTTCGTTTAGTGGATCAATTCAATTTCAAGTTTAATGTTAATGCTACAATGAGTAGTATCTGAGGGAGAACATTTTCTTCTAGTCCATATAATACAAATGCTATATGTTTTTATAACATTCCCTAGTTAAGGTCACATATTGATCCCCAACATACAGTATAAAAACTACAAAATAAATTAACATGGTCCCTTAAGTCTCAATGTTATATGATAATAAATACTTTCAAGAAAGCTTTTCAGTGTGTACCTGATAACGCCAGTTGGTGTAGGCTCTCAGGTAAGTGGCGCTGTTCTTCTCCTCAATGGTAACCAGGTAATCTCCTGAATGGGATGCAGAAAAGAAAAAGAAAATACAAATATATCACTCTCTTCAACTGACACTTCAACCCTTATGCTGTCGGCTTCCTTACTCACACATAAAACAAACGAAAGTGCAATGGGTAAAAACTAGTATGTATGCAGTTGCTAAGACTGACAAAAGGTGAGCGATAATGACTTTTTTTACCCATCTTGCTGTGCTGGATGCTCTTCACAGTGCCCATGGTGGCAAAGCGACAGATGAAAGGGCAGCCCTCCTGCTCCACATTGTAAGCCTCCACCTTGATTCAGTTCAACACATTACTGCATATTAAAAAACATATATTTTTGATGAGGTGTGGGTTTAACAAATGAGGGCATCGTTTTAATTTAAACACAGATAAATAAAATAACTGGAATAAAAATATACATATTTTAAAGAATAACCTTGCATCCTCCAGTCGCCACCACAAACAGAGCTCCCCCTCCACAGCAGACCAGTCCAGGCTCCTGCTCCACCTGAGATACAGAGAGGTAAGGTATATTAGTTAGGACCTGACACATACACAAAACAACATTATCAGCCGTGATAAGCATTTTCTTTTTAAAAGAAAGCAAATAAAAACATCCACAGCAACATCCACCTACCTGTACTATCTGCTGTGAGGCGAAAGGATGGCAGTTGTAGACGTGCACCATGTTGGATCCCCTCTTGGAGACAGGAATCAGCCCAGGGTGGAAATGTAACGGACTGTCCTCATTCAGCAGGACAGCTTCCATTAAAATATAAAAATGTTTAGAGTTGAACAGTTTTTACATATTATTCAAAAATACGTTTTGGTTATGAGACGTGTCATTTTACATAATTACAAATGATATCGACTTGTTATAACTTGCCTTTTGTGAATAACTGTGGCAATCGGCTCACTTTTTAGTTTGACCAGGTTAATCACATGTGACACAAGAAACATTTATTCCTGTTATGTTTGCATTATGTTAGCATATGTGCAAGCTAGTACAAAGGTATTGAAAATAACATTGTTTTTATTTTGTAAGTCAAACGGTAATTTATTGACGGTCCCTAACACTAACCCTGTGGATAACAGAGGGCTACGATGTGAGAAACCCTTCCTATGACAGCCGTAGTTTGAATGTCTTTTGGATTTCCAACCTTAAAATAACTTATTCGTTGCATATTCGACATCGACGTTTTCAGAGAAAATATATCCGTTATTTTAAATGTAATTAAGTTCTGACACTTCGAAACCAATGTCACGTATGTAAACGTATTACAATAAAATAAGAAACATGACCCACCACTAACATGTAGAATTTAGTTTTCGATACATTTCTTTCATTCTATCAGGAGCTGAAACAGGGCTGCAGCAGTGTGCGTTTCACTAATCGATATCACATGCCGCAGTCTTGTGAGCAGCATAGGGTGTTAACACATTAGGATTAACACTTTTCTTCCGGTTGACTCACATTTTAGCTGCAAATAACAGTCATTGCGGTAAAAAGCTGTGAAATATTACTCGTAAAGTACCTACTATGCTGACAGATCCTCGGTATCCTCGCTTTTTCTACTTTTGTGCTGAAGTTTATTGATTTCACAGTGCAAAGCAGGAAGTGAACCGTCAACCACAACAAGAAAGTGCCCGCCCACTCCGGGTTTTTGACGTTCTCATTGGTTGAGAAACAGTCATGTTCTGTCAGGGCAATGATGTTTACATTTTCCCGTTGTTTTTTCACTTTGTTGTAATTTTTCAGTATCAGGCTACTATTTCATTTGTACAGTAGACCATCTACAAAGTGCTTGCTGAAAATGACATACTGCAAAAATATTCATGAACTTCTCTGTCCTGTAGGAAAACATAGAATATATTTTATTGTACAAAAAAAAAGTGATACAAATGTTTCAAATCAAAAGTTACATAGGCCTTCATTACATATGCCCCGTTTCAAATGGGCTAAGCCCTTAGAGTGCTAACATTTATTATATTTGTTAATGAGGGGTGCATTTTCACAAAAGCCCCACTAGGTGTGAGTATGTTCTCAGAAGGGGAAATATGAGCGTTTATATGATCTGCAATGTTTGTATGCAGGATGGCACAATTGAACATGTATTGACACAGTTACTGAAAAATATCACATGGGGGCAGTATTTAACACAAAAGAAAAAGAGAGGGGAGGTATCGATAAGAAGAATTTAGTGTACAGTATACGAACATTAAAATGTTCCCGTTTTTGTATGCTCTCAGTTTCGTGTAGGTTCATGCTTTGCATTTTGATTTGGCCTTTATTTTGTAGCTTCCTGTGATAGAAGTGTTTACGTTTGAAAAGGAACATTGACAGATGAGAAAGACGATTGACAGTAAAGAAACTGCTGCTTAAACAATAATAATGTGCAATCACAACCAATACCCCAGGCCATTTATATCTAACCTAAACATAACTGTAAAATAACAACAATCGCATTTTTATCGTAGTTTAATTTAGTCATTTACAACACTACATCTTTCGAAAGATGAATGTCATCTGTGCAAGATAAAAATAATATGCCGGAGGGATTTCTAACCAGCATTGAGCATTAATTTAACTTTGTTATTTTGTTCACGTGCCTGCTTGAGTGTAGGCTTGCTCTCTCTCTCTCTCTCTCTCTCTCTCTCTCTCTCTCTCTCTCTCTCTCTCTCTCTCTCTCTCTCTCTCTCTCTCTCTCTCTCTCTCTCTCTCTCTCTCTCTCTCGCTCTCTCTCGCTCTCTCTCGCTCTCTCTCTCGCTCCCTCTCTCTCGTGCTGACAGGTACTTCAAGGTTGGGGCTCAGTCCTCAGCTGAGGTGTCGACAGCAGCTCGAGTTGATGTCAATCCCCGAGTTAAACTTTGCAGTGACCCGTTAACGTGCCAAACGGGGCTCCTACAGTGAGTGCTCTAACGGGGGGCACCCACATCAACTCTGCAGTTTATCTCCAGCCAGTGTGCACCCTGCATGCAGCAATCCGCTGCAGCGCCTCTGAGTCTCTGTTTCACTGCAACTCTCGCAAGGTAGGACACATCTGTTACTTAAGTGATTGACATATTTTGTTTATGTTGGGAAATGAAATGCATATTAGGCTACTACAACACATTTAAGATGTAGTCTACAAATCCAACGTGCCTTTCACCTTGCAGGGTGCACGTTTGTGCCCTGCACTTGACTTGCAACTTCAACACAATTTGTTCAGAATTAGTTGAAATTAGACAAAGATAGAAAAAGTCCGTGAGGAGAAATGAAACTCAATGGAGCAAATGTTCCAGTTTGCTTGAAATCATGTTTTTGTTGAGGATTTTCTCCAATAGCTTTTTACTTAAATTACTTTCATTATTCATTTTGAGACCAATGAGTCCTGCATGCTTGTCATTTATTATTCAGCATGCAGCTCCATGACTTACACAGTACAGTGTATCCCTAAATGATTATGGTGATCTTGCATTGTAACCTACAGGGATAAAGATAAGAGGGCAATGAACCAAGAGTGTTCCTTCTTTGTTATTCCTTGTTGGACCTTCTACATAGCTCCTTCAGAAAACCAGATGCTGCTAAGCTGTTTGTATGTCCTCAGTTTGTGCAGAAGTCAGGCAGCTTCTCGAAGGAATGCCCTTACCTCAGAGCTGAGTCATGCAAATTATACCTCCCCTCTGTTCTCCCTTCCCTTAACTTTGATTTGTTTTTACCAATCATTTAATTTCAATAACAGGTAACATTTCATAAAAAAGTGACTTTCTTTAAGCGTAGATTATTCTTCTATTTTTTTAAATGTATTATTTAGTATTTTCTCGATTCCAACGTTTCATGCATGTTCCTACAACATGTTTACTTCAGGAATAGAGACAATTACAAAACATCACCTAACTTCTCATTACATTTTGTCAGGATATGAAAATCAATGTTGCAAACATTTATGCAATCGTTTTCCCATACTGGTAGGATTCCCCCATTTCTTTTTACGAGGAATAAACTAATTCCTAACAAGTGATTACAGGTTGCAAACACATTTCTCTGCATATCCAGGGTGTTGTAATTTAAAGGGTATCAGACAGTGATGCAGATACATTTTTGGAGAGCCAAGAAGGAATGTGGATAAAACCTACCGAAAGGTTTTTACATTGAATTAACTCTGAATAAAATGTATTCACTTGTTTAAATATAATGATTCATGTCAGCCTGATGATTTAAGGAATATGAAAGTATATTCGTTCTAGGAAAACGTACAAGAGGATGAACTTTGACTGGAGAATGTACATTTTATTGGGTGAAATTACAATGCCAAAGTATTTCCCTGCAGGACTTGTAAAAAGAAATACAGACAATTCTATTTAAACACCCAGCCCTTGAGAGAGAATTTAAACCTGGTTAGGATCAGAGGAAAACTTAAAATGAAATGCAGCCTCCTGGGGCCACAAATCCAAACCTTCTGAAAACCACTGATATGGTGGTGCAGTGTGATAATAGCCCTATGGCACAGACAGTGAAAGTCATCTAGCATTTCACACAAATAAGATGTTTGCTGCTGTGTGGCTACTTAGCTGCAAGCCCAGCCATGCTTGAAATGCACCTGTGTGTGTGTGTGTGTGTGTGTGTGTGTGTGTGTGTGTGTGTGTGTGTGTGTGTGTGTGTGTGTGTGTGTGTGTGTGTGTGTGTGTGTGTGTGTGTGTGTGTGGTGTGTGTGTGGTGTGTGTGTGGTGTGTGTGTGTGTGTGGTCAGTGCACAAACCCTCAGGCAGTGGATCAGCCTCAGCTCACTTTAGCATACGAGCACCAGCTGAATAGTGGCTTTACTATTTCATAACTCTGAGAAGACATTTGTGGATTAATTAAGTAGACAAGCAAAGGGAAGATGGACAAAAAAAGATGGATATTATGCATAAAGGTGCATAATTTAAGAAATGTAAGAAGATAAACTGTAGAGAATCAGGAAGGAAAAGCTGAAAGTAGATGAAGTGAATATTGGAAACCTTTAAAGAAGAAAACAAACAAACATGGAAGACACAAGAAAACAGGAGTTTGGAGGATAAGAAGAGCAGATAATAAGCAAAGAGGAGAGGTTTTAAATCAGTCTTATTACAGCCTCCTGGAAATGGTAGTCAATCCACTTGATTTTCACTAATATATGCTCAGCTGTCATATTCCAGCTGCTTCTTCAGTTACTCTAACCTCCAGGTAAACACTCTCAGACAGCTTCAGACACGTTCTTAAACCAAGTGCAAAACCACAGGGAGAAAATTATATTCTTTCTCTGATAAATTATACAATTCACACCTCAGAAATAGTTCAACATCTCATAATCTGTTCACAGAAAAACTGAAATATGGATTGTTTTTTTATTTGTTGAGTTATATGTGCTACTTTGACTTGCATGCTAAGCTGCATTTCTTACATTTAGAGACAATAATGTTTGACATCTTGAATTGAGATCTTAGTGTCCCTTCTAAAGATTAAAGTGTTGATTTCTCCATGTATTACGCATTTTGATACTTGCACAGTATTTTTTTTTTTTTTTTTACAATATGTGACCTTTGACTTTGCATGTATGGCAGGTATTGTATTGGAAACATAAACCTTGTTTGGTTACTTTGGTTGTATTCCAGCTGGGGAGAGTTTGCTTTTATTGTTATACTTCCTTGTTACTCAAATAGGACAAATGGGAGGCAACCTTAGCTGCCACCTGGATTTTTAACACAGTGCCTGAAATTGTATCGCAATGAAATATATAATTTATTCTACGTGGCGTCTTTCATTTGAAATAAACAAACATCGTGCTGCCTGGCTCAGTAACAGGAGCAGAGGCCTGTACTACGAAGCCGGATTTTCGCTTAGCGAGCTAACTTCAAATGTAATTAAAGTCAGATCCACTCGTGTCTTAGACGGGGCAGTGATATCATAAACCTGTTAATGTACGCATTCAAACCAGCAGTATTCACCTTGCAGGTGCAACAATGTGGCTTTTATCCTGGATCAAGTGTTTAAGTCATGGATGTTTAAAGTTTAACTTCTTCATATGTCCAATATTATAGTTTACTTTTCATTCAGGAAGTATGACGCTGCGCTGTCAGTACGCTTCTCCATGTTTGTGACTGGTCAAATGTTGCTAACCCCGCCGCTTTTATGTGAACGCGTACATAACTAGATAGGGCAAAGCTGGCTTGAGTTAACGGGTTGATAACCAGCCTCGTAGGACCGCTTAGCGAGAGCGCGTTTGTTTTGGATTAGGCAAGCCGGGTAACTCAAACATATCCAGGTTATGTTGAACCGGCTTCGTAGTACAGGCCTCTGGACTTGCCATGGTGGTGCTGATGTTATTTTTGCAGCTTAATTCAATTGGTTGGATTGTGTCACTGTCGGTCTAATGTGATTGGCAAAGCGAATGCCCTTGGACTATAAAAGGCAGCCAATACAGACATTAGAGAGTGACTGAGTAAAATGAGAAATTGTCCTCTAGTTCTGTCATGGCTGCTCTGTACTTTGAGGTCAATATTTGCCATAGTTGCTTTGGTATTTGTTGAGTGTTTGTCAAATATCCAAGCCTGTTTACTGTAGAATCTCCAGTAAGTTGGATGCTGCCAGGACATTTACATTGCAATGGGCACTGTGACA